CCTCGTCGCCCCTGCCCCGCGCCGCCCCGAGCCCGTCGTCGCCCCTGCACCGCGCCGCCTCGACGCCGACGTGAGCGTTTTTTTATTTTTGTTAGATTTTTTTAGATTCTTTTTGTAGTTCATAGATTTTTTTGTTAGGTTAGAAGTGTAGTAATTTAGATATGTAGTTCATAGATTTTTTTGTTAGATTAGATTTTTTTGTTAGATTACATGTGTAGTAATTAATTTGTTCATATTATGTTAGATTTTTTTGTTAGATTAATTAGATTTTTTTGTTAGACTAGATATGTGTAGTAATTAATTTGTTCATATTATGCTAGATTTTTTTTCTGTTAATAGATTTTTTTGGTGATATTATTACTGAATATGCATGTTTGGTGATATTATTGTTAATAGATTTTTTTTGGTGATATTTAGATTGTGTAATTAATTTTGTTCATAGAATTTTAATGATTTTTTGTTCATAGTATTTAGAAAAAGGAAAAAAATAAGAAGTAGTTTATATATAGTTGTACTAGCTAGTTGGTTTAATAAACTAATTTATTTTACTATATAATGAAGTAGTTTGTTTTTAGTAAGTACTACTTATTTATTTATAGTAAGTGCTTAGTAGTTGAACTACATAGTTGATTTAATTAATAAAACTACTTTTATTTAACTATATATAGAAGTAGTTCTCGGGTCGACATCGGTGATGCCAATCCCGCATCCTCGTCGTCGTCGACTCGGCGGTGGAGGCCTGCTTGATCAGGGCCATGTTCGGGACTGGGCTCCGCCGGGTTGGTATTGGGAGGTGCTACCTTCCGGGGGACGTAGGTTGGTGAGGAGGCAGCCCGTTGTTGACCCGATCCTTGTTTGGTGGCGGTCGCATGGGCCAGTGACGGTGGTGAGGCATCCGGACACCGCGAAGGTGGTACGTCACCGTGTCAGCGAGGAGGACGAGCACGTCCGTCGCTACATGGTTGCATTGGAGGGGAGGTTCGACAATACCTGGCAGGTTCTTCAGGGATCTCACTGGAGCTATGATCCTGTGATGGTTCCTTATCTTTGGGTGTCCACCGCCCGCGTCGATACCCGTCGGGAGCTACGGTTCTAGTTGTATTAGTGATAATATTCGACGATGTACGGACACCAAGAGATGAAGTACTTTTGCTTATAATTATTGAATGCATGCTAATTTTAATACTATACTTTATTTTATGATTTGGTTTTGCTTATTTTATGATTTGGTTTTGCTTATTGAATGCTCATATTGGATAATTTCTCCTTCATTCCCGTGTGCTAGACAATTTGATATAATTAATAATGCATTCGGGAATGAAAGGAGGAGCTGCGTACATCGATCATCGATACTCAACCCGTGATTAATAATAATGATCTAGTTTAATATTTGAATTATGAACGTATAGGCCGAAAATGTCGTACTCATCGGACGACGAAAACCGCCCAGGGGAGTGCGACTGGTGCCACGACGACCGAGGTATCTGCGACAGGTTCATTGTGCTGGACGAAGATCGGCGCTTCAGCATTAAGCTCGAGGAGACCTTCGATGTTCATACGGTACGCAACCGACGATAATAGTTTTTTTTCATAATTACTCATGACTACAACTATTTTAATCATGACAATATTTTTCATCTTTTCCAATTCGACTAGCTTATCCCATGCTTTGCAAGACGCTATGTCTTGGAGAGGATGGGTTTTGAAGACCATGAAAGTTTCGAAACCAAAACAATTATCCTAAGTACCCATCATGGTGTGGATTTTCAAGTAAAGCTGTACAATGCTCAGAGTGTAACCCATTTTGGTTGCAAAAATTGGGAAGCACTTTGCAAGATGTATGGTTTTGATGAGGGTATGCTTGTTACCATGTATCTTGGTGATCCTACAATCGAGCAAGAGAGACCTACAATTTTCGTCCTTGTGGATACACCTCCAATTCTTCCCCCATGTGAGCTTAACATAGTTATTAAGTAATTTATATTGTTTATTTGAAAATAGTTGACAACTTATTCTCCATTGACAGCTTATTTTCATTCTTCAAAGAATGTGCGGAAGATGGTAGACAGAACCTACTACACCGAAGGCTCCGAACTAACTTATCTGGAGAAAAATCATCTGGTCGGATTTTGTACTGATCTTGAGAATTACAATGTCTACAATCGAACTCCTCAACATTATGGTCAATACGTGCCACTAGTGCACGTGTTGAACTACGGTAACTACCATGGAGATACCCTGGTATGATTTTTTACTATTACAACATTCGTGCATCTTTTTGCACACTTCTAAAACTAGTACATCATATCATTGCTAACTACGAAGTTATTACTATGTTTTTCAACAGATAATCCCAAATGATTGTGTGCCTCATCTGATGTATACACGGGGTAGCCTTCATGTTTTGAACATACACCCAGGTCGTCCTACGAATCTCAACTGTCCATACCGGGTTTCTAAAAGAAGTGGAGACATGATAATCAAAGAATGGAAAAAATGTATGGATAGTCGTAAGGAGCTTCTTGGAAGCAACATTCAGCGAAGGGCAAAAATTGGAGACAGGATGATCGCCATTCTTCATAATGGAGAGTCAGGGTCTATATTGTTTTATGCTATTTTACCTTAAGGGTGTTTAGGTCCTACCTGATACCGATGATCATGTGCTAAGAACAATTATGTAGGGTTGGGTTCGATGACTATGAGGATGATGATCGTATGACTTATTATTAATAACGAGTAGAAGTTGTATATGATGATGCATGATTAGTAGGACTTGTTATTATATATATATATGATGATGTATGATGCAAGCATGCATGAGCATTTTATATCTGCGGGTGCAATGAACATAGCAGCAGCGTTGATAAACCAAGGACGAAGATATAAGAGAGGACACTTCTCTCTACTAGCTAGCTATAATAACAACCTAAAAATAACCCCTAAAGAAGCCACTTTTAAAAAAGAAAATTGACTTTTGGTCCCGGTTGGAGCCACCAACCGGGACCAAAGGCCCCCTGACTGGGGTGGGCGCACAGGGCCACGTGGAGGCACATTGGTCCCGGTTCTGGTTTGAACCGGGACTAATGGGTGGAGGTATTAGTAACGACCCATTAGTCCCGGTTCATGAACCGGGACTAAAGGCCCTTACGAACCGGGACTAATGGTTGGTTTTCTACTAGTGACATAGAGTCATATTTTGTTCTAAGCATTGAGTTTTAATTATTGAGTTGTAAATAAATAGAAGTGTGATGATCATCATTATTAGAGCATTGCCCCATGTGAGGAAAGGATGATGGAGGCTATGATTCCCCCACAAGTCGGGATGAGACTCCAGACGAGAAATAAAAAAATAGAGAGAAAAAAAGAGGCCAAATAAGCCAAGAAAAAAAAAGAACAGAAAAAAAGAAGAAAAAAATGAGAGAAAAAGAGAGAAGGGGCAGTGTTACTATCCTCTTTCCACACTTGTGCTTCAAAGTAGCACCATGATCTTCATGATAGAGAGTCTCCTATTTTGTCACTTTGATATACTAGTGGGAATTTTTAATTATAGAACTTGGCTTGTATATTCCAATGATGGGCTTCCTCAAATTGACCTAGGTCTTCATGAGCAAGCAAGTTCGATGCACACCCACTTAGTTTCTTTTTGAGCTTTCATACACTTATAGCTCTAGTGCATCTGTTGCATGGCAATCCCTACTCACTCACATTGATATCTATTGGTGGGCATTTCCATAGCCCATTGATACGCCTAGTTGATGTGAGACTATCTCCCTCTTTTTGTCTTCTCCACAACCACCATATTCCTCTTCCACCATAGTGCTATGTCCATGGCTCACACTCATGTATTGCATGAAAGTTGAAAAAGTTTGAGAACATCAAAAATATGAAACAATTGCTTGGCTTGTCATTGGGGTTGTGCATGATTTAAATATTTTGTGTGATGAAGATAGAGCATAGCCAGACTATATGATTTTGTAAAGATAGCTTTCTTTGACCATGTTATTTTGAAAAGACATGATTGCTTTATTAGTATGCTTGAATTATTATTGTTTTTATGTCAATATTAAAATTTTGTTTTGAATCTTTCGGATCTGAACATTCATGCCACAATAAAGAGAATTACAAGGATAAATATGTTAGGTAGCATTCCACATCAAAAATTATGTTTTTATCATTTACCTATTCGAGGACGAGCAGGAATTAAGCTTGGGGATGCTTGATACATCTCCAACGTATCTATAATTTTATATTGTCTCATGCTATTATATTATCTGTTTTGGATGTTTAATATGCATTAATATGCTATTTTATATTATTTTTTGGGACTAACCTATTAACCGAGAGCCCAATGCCAGTTTATGTTTTTTTTTCCTGTTTTAGAGTTTCGCAGAAAAGGAATACCAAACGGAGTCCAAACGGAATGAAACTTTTGCGATGATCTTTCTTGGACCAGAAGCAAACTAGGAGACTTGGAGATGAAGTCAGAGACTCAATGAGGCGGCCACGATGGTGGAGGGCGTGCCCAGGGGGTAGGGAACGCCCCTTACCTTGTAGGCCCCTCAGAGCGGTCCTCACCTAATTATTTCGCCTATGTATACTCTTATACCCCAAAAACATCAAGGGGAGCCACAAAAACACTTTTCCACCACCCAAACATTCTGTACCCGTGAGATCCCATCTAGGGTCCTTTTTCGGCGTCCTGTCGGAGGGGGGTTCAATCACGGAGGGCTTCTACATCAACACCATTAACCTTACGATGAAGCGTGAGTAGTTTACCATAGGCTATTAACTGTAGTCCTATCTTCAAGGAAAGAACTAGTTTGGCCGTGTCATTCCCTAGTATCCCTCCTCCTCTATTAATTTCCCTATCTATGGCAAGCCCTCTAAACAAGCCGCCACCTGCTTGTCCTCTGTTTACTCCCTTCTCTGTTCGTGCATGCTATCCATCGACTGCTCGATGCATTTTACGCGGATCGACCCGAAATCCAACGCCTCGCTGTGGTTCTCTCCCGCTGGCTGCGCGCCCTCCTCTTCCTATAAATCTCGACCTAACTCCTCCTTCACGTGTTTCCCCCTCCTCTCCATCTTCTCCTCAATTCTCCCTTGCCTTATCAACGATGCATCCATACATGGAGACCCAAAGATGTCGCCACCCCATTCAATGCTGCACTGCCCGCATCAACACTGTTCGTTCTGTCTCATGTGGTGGTCAGCGGGGCTTATGGGTTTGATCTGCCATGTCATGTAAGAGCGCTCCCTTTCTCTTAATCTGACCTTCTTTCTGTCTTTCTTGGAAAGAAGGAAATCTTGGGATATATGGTAGTACAACTCAAACTGCTGATGTGTTTTCTTATGATGTAGACGGTTCTAGCGACTTATCAGGGGACATGATTGCAGGTAGGGGTGAATTTGCTGGACAACATCGAGGTAGCTATGCAGGTATGTTCCTGTTGAGGATGGATTAGGTGGTTGTTAAAAGTTAGAATGTTAAAGTATTGGGATGTATATGCAGGTATGACATATTCAAATATGTCATCCTTTTTTTAGGTTACTCAAATATGTCATCTTATGAAACATTCTGAGTAGGCAGAAACCATCAAGGAGTATATATCTAGTTTTTCCTAATTAAACCAATCGCTGTGAGCAGTTAGTCGCATGTACTTCTACCAGCTCCAACTCCACCACCTAATGTCATACAGTATCCTGTAATTTTGCCAAAATATTAAGTCACATTGAACATACATAGAGAGCTAAATCATATTACAGAACCAAGAATCAAAATTAATGACAGGACGATGTGCTGGTTATGTACTCGATTCAGGTAGTGCACAACCTTACGATCGGCTTGGCATCCAAGTATCATCTTGTAACTCAATTATTGCCACAATTAATTATAGATGCTCCATAGTCAGCCATCGATTGCTACTACTTCCATTCACAATGGTCTTAGCTGGTCCTGACGAAATCATGACAAGATTCAGTAATGAAGAGGCATTCACCAGCGATTTTTTGGTGAGTACTATATAGAAATACGTTGCTCTTAAAATCAAAAGGACGTCACTTTGCATATAACTACATACTGACGTCCTAAAACCTACAGGTCGACATGCATAATTTATATCCACCTCTGTTTGCTCTTGACAAAAATATATCATCATTGTTGCTCGGCTAATGTAGCGCCATTACTATAATTGAAGGCTGCTACTGGTCGTGCATATAGTGTGTTTTTCTAGGACTTCGTCAAAACAATTTACTCATATATCAAAACCTGCCTAAACCAGCAGAAGGCAGTGCGACCTAGGCATTAAAACATTCTGGGTTGCCACATTGTACTAGTATTAAGAACAGAAGAAATCAATCCTTGTGCCCGCAGGAAGAAACCAAAACTACCTTGGTTCTATGCAGCATTATGTATAAAGGGAAAATTTTGTTTTTGCCACTCTAGATTTTGCCAATTTTCCATATGCCACTCTAGATTTTGACATTTCACTTTCGTCACTCTTAGTTTTTGACAATTATCACAATTGTCATTCGCGTGGCAAAAGCAAAAAAATTAGAGTGGCAATTGTGATAATTATCAGAAGTTAAGAGTGGCAAAAATGAAATAAAATTATTTTGCTTTTGCCACAAAATGGCAATTGTGATAATTGTCAAAAACAAAGAGTGGTAAAAGTGAAATGTCAAAATCTAGACTGGCATAGAAACTTGGCAAAATCTAGAGTGGCAAAAACAAAATTTTCCGTTGCTATACTAGTGTCGTTGCTATACTAGTGTTGTTTTTTGACTCTACATTGATTTTATGTATAATTAAACTACTACTAGCATTGCTATAATACCGCGCGCTGCTATGCCACCATTAATTGATGCTGATATACAAATGTTGTTGCTGCTATATATACTTATGCCAGCTTGGTTGACGTTACTTTTGGTAGAGTTCTTATCAGATTCGCCACCACCATTTTATTCGTTCCCAATGGTTTATGCTGCCAAAATTGTCGAAACTTTGGCCTTGTTTTTAAGGAAACAAAAATTTTAGGGTGCTTGCTGAACATTTTTAGGGACTTGGCTGCAAGATTTTCATAGTTCTAGTTCCTAGTTTTAAGAGATTTTTTTTTATTTTCTAACATTTCCCTAACTGTTCTTGTTGAGGATGGATTAGGTGGTTGTTAAAAGTTAAAAGGTTTGGGATGTATATGCAGGTATGGCATATTCAACTGTGTCATCTTATGAAACATTTGGAGTCGACAGATACCGTCAAGGAGTAGAAATCTAGTTTATCCTAATTAAACCTATCAGCATGAGTGGTTAGCGGTCTAAAAGAATAAAAATTTATCCTAATTAAGGTTTTGAATAAAAACATAAATGCCTATATCAAGTTTACACACGGTGGTGAGTATAGAAATGCTACTTTTGTTTATACAAACTACTCGTTCTCAACCAAGTTCGAGAGATTTGCATGAAAATAAATGTTACACCAGACATAGGCTACTATTATAAAAGAGAAAATAAAGGTCTATCAAGGATTCCAAGTTGACCAACAAAGAGCTTGAAAGATGAGCCAGTCCATAATAATGAGAAGACTGCATGTTCTACATAACTTCAGAGACATGTCCATATATGTAAACAATACTAGTATGTAGCTGGGGTTTACATAGGTGGATAGTAATGTAAACTTGAATGCCAATTCAGTAGTCAACTCATAAACCTAGGTCGATCATGTTGTTGTTGCTGCTGCTAATTTAGTAGTCAACTAATGCTAATGTTGATGCTAATTCAATAGTAAACTAATGATGTTACTGCTGCTAGTTCGATAGTCAACTAATGCTACTGCTGCTGCTAATTCAGTAGTCAACTAATGTTGTTGTTAACTAATGTTATTATGCTACCACTGATGCTGCTATACTATTGTTGTTTGACTTTACATTGAATTTATGTATAAACTAGTATTGTCCTTGTTATACTATAGTGCTGCTATGCTACCATGAATTGATGCTGATGTACTACTGTTGTTGCTGCTATGCCAATGCTAGCTTGATTGTCGCTGCTTTCGGTAGAGTTCTTATCAGGCTCGCCACCATGTTATTCGTTCCCAACGCGTTATGCTGCCAAAATTTCCGGTGAAAATTCGCATGATTATATATAATGGTTATGTGAGTTTCTTGTTAGACATTGAGACTTGAAATGCATGTTTGTGTATTGTATATGTATTTTTGCGGCAGGGATCCGAGGGGAAAGCACTAGAAAGTTGTCTGGGAATGGATCTTTACCGAGAGCCGCTCTCGGCAAAGTGGCATGGCTGGCAGTTGGCTGTTTCAGTTTTGCTGAGAGCCAGTCTTGGCAAAGAGCGCACGGAACCAGCCGGTGTGGAGTCACCTTATATCGTCGAGTGGTACGGTTTAGCTCTTGGCAAACTCTTTGTCGAGTGTCCGTGTCCTGGCTCTCGGTAAATTCATGTTTGCCTAAGAGGTGTACGACGGGTGGCCTTTGCCGAGTGCAACTCTCGGCAAAGGTGTTGCCAGTGGTTATTGGCGCTTTGCCGAGTGTCCGTGGCACTCGATGTATAGGGCGTTTCCAATTGTTATGGTAGCCGGGCCAGTAGTCTCTTACAAGGTTTTCACCTAGTTTTCAACTAATTAACAGGGTAATTCTCTTATGTTTAATTAACGGAGTGGGTCTAAGGCTCCTATTTAAAAAATCTCACAGAGTAGTGGAGATCTATAGCAAGTAATGAAACAAGATTCCATTTTACAGGATGAAGTAACATTCAGCCCATCGGAACGAGAAGAACTTTAAAAGAAATAAAAATGAGAACACACTCATGATATGCATGGATATTCAATGCAAACATATTTGTTTAGGGCAAACAGGATGATTTAAATTCTTCCCATCAGCACAAAAACAATGAGAACAGGATGATAAAATTAGATTTAGATTCACCCCATGAGAACAAGAACAACGATAAAGAAATAAAAATGAGAACAACTCACAATATGCATAGCTGTTTAATGCAAACATATATTTTTTAGTGGAAACAAGAAGGAATTGTATTCACCCCATCAGGACAAGAACATTGAGAAATGAAGCAACAACAATAACGCAATACAATATCCATAACTCTTCAATGCAAACACTTTACATAAATGACACGTTACAGGTAATTTCAGACAGACACGTACCAGTTTCCTACAATATCTCGATCGACGAGGACTCGGACAACATGACGTGTAGCAAGAAGCACATAATTTTATTCATTACAAACACTTGACAAGATCAACAAACTGCGGACAGACATGCACCTGTTGCTACAATAACTCGGCCGACCAAGACTCGTACAACATTATACGCTGCTAGCAGCGCATAATTTTATTCATTACAGTACAATATAGAAAAGTATGAAATGCAAATACGTAGCAGCTAGGAGCACTAACTCCAGGGCTTGTTGCGTTTGTTCATGGACGGTAGCAAGGATTTTGTCGCTCCATCCTATCCAATGCTCCGCGTATCTCTCCGATACCTTTCATCACCTCTCCCAGGTCACTCCTTAGACGCCGGATCTCTGTGCTGAGATAGGACATCCTCTGATCCATGTTCCTGCTCAGATATCTCAGGATTTCAACCTGCTCATGGGTCTCGTGGCCTTCCAATTGCTCAGAAATTTCACGAGGCAGTAGCTTTATCAACTCTTTTACCTTTTCAACATCTCTCTCTACTTTGATCTGATTGATCACCTCTACATGATCGCTGTCTATGTCACTGCCAAGCTTGTTTAGTAAAAACAAGTTTGTCCAGTTGAGCTGCTTATGCTCCCCAAAGCCCCCTTCTCCCGCGATTACGAAAGGCACAAATTTTCCATAAGGCCCACCCAGATCCAGGTAGCTGTTTGATGGAAGCTCTCTACGCTCGAAATTGGAAGTCCTAACTCCTGCCAGTGGAAGCTTATAAGCCATTGATTATCACTTACTTGCCAAGCTGAAGAACTTCGGCGCCTTCGGAGAAGAGAACCCTCAACTCCTGCTGCTGCACCCGCCCTCTAATGTTGATGCTGTCTATGTTGCTGGAATTTGAATTTCTATTTTCTGAGGCATGCTTGGATGGATGAACTTGGTTTCCTATTTATAGAGTGCAAGCCACATGTGAAGTTGCTAGAAGTGCTCACAATCGTGTCATCGTGGCTCAGATTGAAGTGGCAGTCACGGGTGAAGCTGCTAGAACACTAAGGACGTGTGGACGTTCACTCTGTACGTACTTGCATTGTACACTATCAGTATGGGCAGCAATAATGTACTGTACAATAGAGGACAAAGATCATACGGGAATCACGCAAGGATATTACTGCTCGTTGGCGTCAAAATTTCCTTTAAAGAAAAGGAAAGCTGCTAGAACACTGAACACGTGCCCCATTACTTTCAACTTACTTGCATCTGGGCAGAAACCATGTATCTCATGGGAAAAACTTGTCTACAGTACCAGCATGCGCAGCAATAATATACTAGGATATAGGACAATTTCATACGTGAATCATGCAAGGCTATTGGTTTTTACCGCTGGCATCAATCTCTGTCCGGTTAAAATGTCCATACTTGATGAATGGAATAAGACCAACAGAGATGATTTAAAACTAGTAGATGTTAATTTACACCTTATTTTCTTTTTCAGTTTACGCCGGGTCTTGTAAAACTTTGCTTTTTTTAATATCCAGTTTTTTAAAAGTTGGGCATTATAAAATAAAAGCTCAGAAATAGCATATTTATCCTTTACCGAATTACATGGATTTCCAAAATCATGCTAAGTTCAATGGGTTTCATAATTTTCTATATCTCATACATCAGAAAAGTGGAATGTACCTTGGAGGCAACTAACATTATCAAGCACCATATCAAGCTTTGCCGGGCAGGGAGTGATGGCAGTGGAACATCGTTCCCCCTATGATCATCACCATATACGTTGAGGAGTAAGCAAAAATTGTGTTGAGGATATGTTCGTTGCCACGAAAACTTAGTAGCCAAGCTCCTGACCTACAACGGGCACCCCCGCCTCGGCAGACCGATCCAGCTGCAAGGCGGCGCCCCCAAACTTGGTCACGGAAGTTTATGTTGCCACACGCCGGACCACCTCAACGCCCGCTCCATCAAGAAGATTGCCGACCGAGGCCGATAGACATCAGGAAAGGAGAACACCCTGGCCACCCGCCCGTTCCATGCCAGCACCGTAACCGGGCTAGGTTCAGTTTGCCAATCATGCGCATAGTTGCCTTGCCGTGCTGCCAGATGCTGCCATCGTCCGTGTAAATGTTGGCCGGCCGCAGATCTAGGTTGAAGACCTCTTGCAAGGGCCCCTTTGCGCCGCTGCAGGGCGCCCTCCGATCCATGCCCCGCGCAATCACTCAGCCCGCACGCAATCCCAGTAATGCCGCCATTATCTTGCATCCGCTCGTCGTTGAAGAGGCCCACCACCGCAACTACCTGGCCTCAACATTTATCGCAGATCATAATACACATACGGCATGACATGATGTAATATTGTATTGCAAGACCTTATTATAGAGTGCAAGCCCTTATCCTCACACTCGTGCCATCATGGCTCTGATTGAAGTGGCACTCACGGGTGAAGGTGCTGGAACACTGAGGACGTGTGCACTATCACTCTGTACGTAGTTGCATGTATATTATGAGCAACAATTATGTACAGTATCAGTATGGGTGGCAATAATATACAATAGGGGACAAAGGCCATACGTGAATCACGAAAGGATATTGGTAAGAAAATGCACCAAGTCAGACGAGAAGCTGCTAGAACACTGACGACGTGCACCTTCACTCTGTACTTAGGGTTTAGGGTTTAGGGTTTCAGTTTACACCAGGTTTTGTAAAAACTATTGATATATTTTTTGGAATATCCGTTTTTTTATTTGGTCATTATAGAATGTCAGAAATAATATATTTATCCTTTACCGAATAACATGGGTTTCCAAAATCATGCAAAGTTTCACACGGGTTTCATACTATTCTATATCTCATAGAAAAAAATTAAAACGTACCTTCGACCCTACTAACATTATGAACCACTTTATCAAGCTTAGCCGAGTAGGGAGTGATGCTAACTTACACTACTAGGGAAAAACTTATAGGTAGAGGGAGCAGTAACGCGGTACTGCTA